CTTTCTACAATCATTTTATTGAGTTCTTTCTGCTGCACGAGTGGGGCAAAGAGGCGTGCAACTTGACGCTGCGCTCGGAGGCCTTGCAGACGGTGCTCAAGCGTAAGGCTGGCTACTATGACGTCATCGTTCTGGAGCAGTTCAATACGGATTGCATGATGGGCGTGGCACATCAGCTGCAAGCACCAGTTGTCGCCCTGAGCAGCTGCGCCATGATGCCCTGGCACTACGAGCGCATGGGCGTCCCAATCATACCCTCTTATATTCCAGCATTATTCATGGGTCAATCGCAGGACATGAACTTTGGCGGCCGTTTGGCCAACTGGTTCAGTTTCCATACACTCAACTGGTTGTACAAGTAGGTATACGAAACGAAAACCGAGGGACTCTTTACCATATCTGGTCGATATTCAAACAAACCAAGTTCGTTTTGCTCGAGTCTGCAACATGATCGAGCTAACCGTTACATCGAACACAAATGAGTTTGAATCAGTTCGAGCTTGTTTTAACGAGCTCCTTAATTGTTTGTTTGCAACTCGAATAGCTCGAGTGGATAAAGTTTGAGTATTGAGTATCAGAAACACGTTGCGCTGCAGGGCTCTATTCACTGAGAACTATTCACGACTAATCGCACTCGATTTCAGACTCGTCTCCATACCCGCTGCGGATGCGCTGGTGCAGTACAAGTTTGGCCACGATGTGCCCTCGGTGGGTGAGCTGGTGAAGAACACCTCTGTCTACTTTGTGAATCAACACTATTCGCTGAGCGGTCCGAAGCCTTTGCCACCGAACGTCATCGAGCTGGGCGGCCTGCATATCCAGAAGGCCAATCCGCTGAGCGCCGAGCTGCAGCGTCTGCTTGACAATGCCGAGCATGGCGTCATACTCATCAGCTGGGGCTCCATGATACGCGCCAATTCGCTGTCACCGGAGAAGCGCGACGGTATTGTGCGCGCCGTTGCCCGACTGAAACAGCAGGTCATCTGGAAGTGGGAGAACGAGACGCTGGCGAATATGCCGCCTAATATGCACATCATGAAGTGGCTGCCACAGCGCGATATACTCTGTCATCCCAATGTCAAGGTGTTCATGACCCATGCCGGCCTCATGGGCAGCTCCGAAGCGGCCTATTGTGGTGTGCCTGTTGTGGCCACGCCCATGTATGGTGATCAGTTCCTAAATGCGGCCGCCCTGGTGCAGCGTAATATGGGCGTGCTGCTGCACTACGAGGACATTGGCGAGAATACCGTGCTGAAGGCCCTTAAACGTGCTCTGGACAAAAAGTGAGTCGTTGCTTGAACAACATGTGCCTATTCAGGCCATGGAAAACATCTACGAACTCTTCACTCAAATATATACAAGATCCATAGTCGAGTCAATCCACAGTCACGTCCATCTGTTTGTCTATCTGCCTTAACAGACTGAGCTGGGAATATAGAGTTTTCCATGCCATATCAAGATTAACTCAAATTATCGACTAGTAGAGTGTTCAGCTTAGCGAAGAATACAATATGTCCCACAGGGTATCTCCTAGTCGGTCAATCTCGACTAGTTCTCGCTTACCATTTGTTATATATATATTATTTCCTCGTTTCAGGCACGCGGATGCTGCCAAGCTAGTCGCGCACTCCTTCAAGTATAGACCGCAACAGGCGCTGCAAACGGCCCTCTGGTGGGTGGAGCATGTGGGTCACACTGGTGGGAATCCGCTGCTGAAATCCAGCGCCGTCGAGCTGTCACGTTTTGTCTACTACTCGCTGGACTGCTATGTGGCAGTTGGCCTCATTTTGGCCATTGTGATTGCCAGCTGGGTGGCTCTCATAGGACGCTGTCGCGCCAAGCGACCGGAACAAAAGAACAAAAGGGATTAAATCGATTTGATCCTTAGCTTTGTCTATGTGATATTTTCCATGTGAACGTCTGTTAGTGTCCTAATTTAGTTTAGTGACTCCCGCTCCTAAAAGTTTAGATATAAAGTTGGAAATGTTGTGCTTATACGTTTAGCTTGTATCTAGAGAATGTTAGATATGGGATATGGGATAAACACGTGAGCTCTCCAAAAGAAACCTAATAATAATCTATAAACATGTATAGACTGGGATACTTGTCCAAAAAGAAATCTAAGATCAGTTGAAAGACAATATAAATGTTTGTATGACCATATAGAAATATTTATATGACCACATAGAAATGTTTATATGACCATATAGAAATGTTTATATAGGATCTGTTCATTAATAATTCTTTAATTATTTCTGGAGTATTTAATTGGCTCTGTAGAAAATTTAATATTCAAAATTATTTAATTAATATTTATATTTGATGTAATTGATTCGAATTGAAGCATTAAAATTAATGCAGAAATAAATTTTGCTGTCGCAGCGCTTTTTTAAAGAGAATGCGGAATATGCCTTTAACTAGTTGAGAATTTTAAGCGCAACCGTATGCAAATAGTTTTCGACATGCAATTTTGTTTATTATACATATCATCTCTTTAATTCATTCTGTCGATTAGCCCCATACACGATATGCGATATTTTTATAGATGCTCAAAACTATTCTTAAAATGTTCGCTCAGTTGCGAAACGTTGCGTGGCCCAAACGAACGTCTTGTGCGGATTTGCGATATTATAAAAGTGCATTCTAAAAGTGCTCCCAGTTTTAATTATAGCTGTGCATCCATAAGTGACATTCTTATGATCTATATAAGATACATTCTTGCTTAGCTTTCGTTTCATAGGAAAATGCATTCAATTTGTGCTTGGAAATTGTTGCTGCTGTTTTCACTGTTTTCAGTGAACAGCTCAACGCATGCCCTGAAAATCTTGGGCCTGTTTCCCCATCCAGCGCTCAGTCATTTTCAGTTCTTTCAGCCACTGATGCGGCGACTGGCCGAAGCGGGCCACAATGTGGATGTGGTCAGTCCATTTCGGGATTTAAATCCGCCGACGGGCTACAAGGACTACGCCCTGCCCAGCGCCAATTTGAATGATAAAATTGGCTTTGATGTGAGTGAATTTGAATGGGTATCTTTAGCTATCTATAGCTAAATATATTATATATATATATATATATATCTATGACTTGGTTTTCACCTATTGATTGACTGACTAACAATTCCGCATAGAGGCAAGCTCAATCTTTCAAGTCAGGAATTAGGAATGTTTAAAAAGTTGGTCAAGGATTGTTAAAAGTGTGCCTGGACCTCTCTGCGCGTTGAACTAACAAGCGAGAGATCGCACAGCTCAAAGTCAGCATTAAGAATTTCATAATTCATAAATATGTATAGAAAATCGGAGTATTCACCTTTGTCCACAGATGTTTGAGGATGTTGCTATGCCCTATCTGATGCCCTTCACCGAGTTCTTCATCCTGCATGGTTATGGCAAGGCTGCCTGCAATTCCACGCTAAATAGCGCGGCACTTGCGCAGATACTCAGGCATCCGGTTGGCTACTATGACGTCATCGTTCTGGAGCAGTTCAATACGGACTGCATGATGGGCGTGGCACATCAGCTGCAGTCGCCAGTTGTGGCCATGAGCAGCTGCGCCCTGATGCCCTGGCACTACGAACGCATGGGCGCACCGATAATACCCTCCTATATGCCAGCCTTATTCCTGGGTGAGTCGCAGCACATGCAGTTTGCTGGTCGCCTGGCCAATTGGTTGACCACGCACGCGCTCAATTGGCTCTATGGGTAAGCGAAATGCGGATGCGGTTGCGGCTAACAGATGAAAAACCTTTCTTTTTGCCCACAGCTGGTACAGCGTGCCCGCCGCTGATGCGCTGCTGCGTCAGAGATTTGGAGCGGGCATGCCCAGCACTGGCGAGCTGGTGAAGAACACTTCGCTTATGCTCGTCAATCAGCATTACTCGCTGAGCGGAGCCAAGCCGCTGCCGCCGAATGTCATAGAGGTGGGCGGGTTGCACGTAAGCCAGGCCAAGCCTCTGCATGATGCACTGCAACAGCTGCTGGACAAGGCCAAGCATGGTGTCATAATCATCAGCTGGGGCTCCCAGCTTAAAGCCAACACGCTGTCCGGCGCTAAGCGCGAGGGCCTGCTGCGTGCCTTGGCGCGTCTGCCGCAGCAGATCATCTGGAAGTGGGAGAACGTGACGCTGCCCGAACAACCACCCAATGTGCATATCATGAAGTGGCTGCCACAGCGCGATCTGCTGGCGCATCCCAATGTGCGGCTATTCTTTACACACGGCGGCTTGATGGGCCTCACAGAGGCCGTTGCCAGCGGCGTGCCCATTCTGGGCATGCCCGTCTATGGCGATCAGCATCTCAATGTGGCCGCCCTGGTGGAGCGTGGCATGGCGGTGCGACTGGACTTTGAACGCCTCCGCGAGCAGACGGCATTCGAGGCATTGTCTCAGGCGCTAGATGCCAAATACAAGCGGCAGGCCCAAAAGATTGCCGCCGCCTACAACGAGCGGCCGCAACTGGCGCTGGAGACCGCTCTGTGGTGGGTGCAGCATGTGGCCGAGACAGGTGGCGCACCGCTGCTACAGTCCGGTGCGGTACGACTCAATCGCTTCGTCTACTACTCGCTGGACGTCTATGTGGCTCTGGCCTGTGCGCTGCTCCTATTCCTGGCCATCGCCACTGAAATCTGGCGACGTTGCTGCAAGCGCAAGCAGCCAGTGCAGAAGCCCAAGCGCAGCTAACTAGCTGGAATGACTGGAAAATAAAATATAGTTAAATACAGTGAATGCTCTAGACTAACGGAGAGCTTACTTGGACGCACTGCGTCTTTAGCCAACAAATTTGTTTCCTCCTAGGGCGGCCGCTGAAATCCCCTTTAGAACCTTTCAAAACAGCAAAAACAAAAGTTGATGAAATGAAGACGCTTTATCCAAGAACTGTAAAATATTAGTTCGTTTGCGACTTCTTTATCCAGTCCGTCTCCTTCGAGTCTCGTTTATGTGTTATCTTATTTCATTTGTGAGCATAATTTAACCAGATGATCGCATCAATCAAATATATTACTTGTTCACATGGATCTTTCTGTATGTTTTTTCCGCATTTTCTGATATTTTTGACAGCCAAGCGTGAGGCGCCCAGCGGTGGGCCCTAGGAGTTGACCACGCCACCATCAATGAGTTCGCCGGCCTTGCTCTCGTAGGTGACCAGTTCATTGGCCGAGAAGCAGACACGCAGCTCCACAACCTGCAAATTCTGACGCTCGGAGGCCAGGCGGGTCATGTTGCTCCATCTTCTCAAAGCCCACCAAAGTCAGCACACAGTTGGCGTTGCCGAACTCCACGTGCTGCTTGGGCAGATGCACAGCAGTCGAACATGTCATGCCCACCTCGTAGACCGCATGCTGCCGACAGTTGGATTCCCCGTAGACATAATCGACAGCAGCCTGTTGCACCTCTTCGCACTTAAAGTTGGCATCCTGCAAAGTGCGCATAGCAAAGTTCAGCGTGTCGGCCAGGTTGCACGAACTAAGAGTCGGATGTCTGTTAGAGACGAGCTTAAAAGTTAATTTTAGAATTCGTACCTTGGTGGACACTTGATTTCATCATTTTATGATGCTTCTGTTGTGGTCGGCGTCGAGGAATGTTCGAGGTAACTATAAATGCGCGTAAAAAAGCAAATATGCGTGGTACAAATAACTGTGCACTAAATTAACAGTTAAGTTGGTTCAATTGAACAGGTTCTTTTTTATGTAGCGCGCCTTTTGGTATTTTACTTATCGAACCATTGGTATTATTATTTGGTATTTATGCGTTTCGGCAAGGCCAATAAATATTGAATTCAAAACTGTTAATTTACTGGTTTTAAGATTATAAAAACCATAATAATAAAGAAAAAAATTATTACACATACATAATAGAACCACAATGCGCTTAAAGAATATAAAATACAATGCAACATATATTTACAAAATCAAACAAATTATTTACAACTTTGCTTTAGTAGCGCCCGGAAAGCCCAGACGATAGAGCGCCACCACAACAGCACCACCCAGACCCAGGTTGTGCTGCAGGGCCAGCCGAGCGCCGTCCACCTGACGCTTCTCGGCCAGGCCACGCAGCTGCCAGCAGAGCTCGGCGCACTGAGCCAAGCCTGTGGCGCCCAGCGGATGGCCCTTGGAGATGAGCCCGCCACTGGGATTGATCACAAATTTGCCGCCATACGTGTTGTCGCCACGATCGATGAACTCGCCGGCCTTGCCTTCGCCACAGAGACCCAGGGCCTCGTAGGTGACCAGCTCATTGGCCGAGAAGCAGTCGTGCAGCTCCACGACCTGCACATCCTGTGGCTTGTAGCCGCTCTTGGCGAACAGGCGCTCCGAGGCCAGGCGTGTCATGTCGTAGCCAGCAATCTTCATTAGGCTCTTGTCGGCAAATGTCGACTCCGGATCGCTAGCCATTTCCATGCCCACGATCTCGACGGCCTGCTTCTCCAGGCCATGACGACGCACGAACTGCTCGGAGGCCAGAATGGCGGCACCAGAGCCATCTGAGGTGGGACAGCACTGCAGCTTGGTCAGCACGCCCTCAACCACCTGCGGCGACTTCATAATCTGCTCCAGGGTGTATTCATCGCGGAACTGCGAGTAACTGGAACAACAATAAATAAAGTCCGATTAAGATAAGAGCGAGTGCAGCGATCAACTGAATGGCCAATGTTCAAAGAGAGGATGGCCCCGCAAGCACGATAAGCGATAAGATAAGTGCTTCTACTTATTATGCGAACGAACTTTCGACTGGGCGGTAATCAATTCAACTAAAACTTACGGATTATTGACGGAGTGCTTGTGGTTCTTCCAGGCAATCTTGCCAAAGTGTTCCGGCTTTGTGCCGTACTTCTTCATGTGCTCCTTGCCGGCATTGCCGAAAATCTGGGCAGCCATTGGACCGGCGCCGATCTCCGTCAGCTCACCCATTTCGGTGATGTGGCGCTCCATGGGATTGGCACGGTCAAAGTACTAACAACAAAGATGCTCTGGATAATCGGATATTATATAGAGTTCAAAGGTTCTGATAGCTACCTTTGCGGCCAAAGAGCCACGCTCCATCTTCTCGAAGCCGAGAGCCAGCACGCAGTCTGCGTTGCCCGACTCAATGATCTGCTTGCCCAGGTACAAGGCACTCGAGCCCGTGGAACAGTTGTTGTTCACGTTGTAGACGGGAATTCCGGTCATGCCCACTTCATAGACCGCACGTTGTCCGCAAGTGGAGTCGCCATAGACATAGCCCACAACAGCCTGTTGCACCTCCTCGTACTTGATGTTGGCATCCTGCAGCGCCTTGGTGACTGCCTCCTTGGCAAAGTCCGGATAACAGACGTCAGCGCGGCGACCAGGTTTCTCGAACTAAGGCAGATGTCAATTACATGCAAGATCAAAGGTCGCTTTAACAATACGTACCTTGGTCATGCCAACGCCGATAACGTAGACTCTGGTCTTGGTCATTTTGTGGTGCTTCTGTTGTGGTCGGCGTCCAGAAAACAAGTGTTTGGTGGACTTGCAACCGGTCGCGAGTTTACCTCTGCATTTGCGGAATCAGTTCAATTGGAATGTGCTTTTATTTGGAGCAAGTTCAATTTAATGTTCCGAACCAGTTTAATTGAGGCGGCCCCATTTTACTTGCTTGATATTTTGGTTTTAGTATTTAAGTGTTCTTTGGGTTTTCCTGGCTGGCCACACATAATTCAATTTTACTTGCCGCTTCCTATTCCTGGTCTGCTTCAAAAATCTTAACCCTGCCCCGAGAGCAAAAGTAAAAACATTTTTCGGAGAAAAGCACGTGAAAATATTTAAATAAGCGGATATGTAGCACTAAGGGACAATGTGGCCATACGTATTTAACGTGGCAGCCATTAGCCAATGAGATCCACTGTGTTTGCGCCAGAATATGATTTGATGTTTCAGGTAAGAGCAGAAGCTTTTGTGGTTCTCCGTAAGTCGGAGATGGTGTCTATCCCACATAGTTTTTTTTTTCCTCAAGATGCCATTTTCTTTGTAGTGTTTTTTATGAAATATAAGCTTTTTAAAGTTGTCGAAGTCGCGGTGGTAGCACGATTGACAAGCGTCGTGCAGCAACGATACCACTTGACGATGAATTTCCGATAGTCTTGAGCTATCGTCAACGCGTGGAGATGAGCGAATGAGAGCTTTAAACTATCGATGATGAATCATTGAAAATATCGAATTTTCGATTTGGCGGAGTCTATTGTGTATTTAAAATGCCAATCAGCACAATGTATAACTGAAAATAAGTTAACATTTTAAATTAACTGCACGGATATTGATCTTGTATCTCAAGTTTCTTGTGAGGTTAACACGATTAAAAGCGGTTTCATGTACATTTAAAATCTAAGGCATTTTTTAAAACATACATATTAAAAATGAAGCAATCCATATGCAAAATAGACTTAAGAATTTTATAAAGTTATCACTTATAACAATATATTATAAAGTCGTTTAATTATATTGTTTCTCTTAGCTCTATGACTGATATATACAAAAATATAATTATAACTAGTGACTATGATTGTGTTTTTAGAATTTTATAAGTTTAATTGTTAACAATTTTTGTGTTATGACTTCTAAGGTGCGATTTGAGCGTGTCAGCACGATGACAGATTTTTGGACAGTGTAGACACTTGTAAGCCCGGTGACCAACCAATGTGACAGGGCTTGTGCTCATCGTACTTTGCATTCTCTGAAAACTGTTTTCTGCAGTGAATACACCTTAAGGGAGCTTTACCTACATGAGTAAAATGTGGATGCGCAGATGCATGAACTGTTTAAAGGCTTGGGGACGATGTGGACACTGAAATGGTCATTCGTCCGAATGCGTACGTAAGTGATTTGTGTAGCCTAATTTGGTCTTAAAGGCCTTTTGACAATGTGGGCATGTAAATTGTTTCTTTTTAGCATCTATTCTAGGCTCGTCAACAGCAAGAGGATCGCCAGTTTCGTAGCGCTCCACGGTGCATTCTTCGTAGCTCTTCAAGCTTAGTTCAGTTTGTTCCTCTTCAATGTTATCCTCCATATCCTTCACTTCATTGCTGCAGCCTATTTCATTATCTTGCCCGGCCAGCTTTGAGTTTTCTATTTCAACCCGTTCAGACTGGATATTTATCTTACTGTTATTTGCGGGATGAATTAAAATGTGTCCCTTAAATAATGAAATAGTAGTAAATATTTTTGGACAGTGTAGACACTTGTAAGCGCGGTGGCCAATGTGATAGCGCGTGTGTTCATCGTACTTGGCTTTCTCTAAAAAGTATTTTCTGCAGTGCGGACACTTATAGGCAGTTTTTCCCTTATGAGTAGATATGTGGGAGCGCAGAATCCAGAATGTTTTAAATGTTTTCGGGCAATATGGACACGGAAATGGTCGTTCGCTCGAATGCATACGAATGTGAGCATTGAGGCTGGATGTATTCTTATAGGCCTTTTGGCACTGTGGGCATATAAATTGTTTCTTTTCAGTAACTTTTCTAGGCTCGTCAACAGCAAGAGGATTGCTAATTTCGTAGCCCTCAACGGTGCATTCCTCGTAGCTGTTTGAGCTTAGTTCAGTTTGTTCTTCCTTAATGTTAACTTCACTATCCTTTACTTCATTGCTGAAGTCGTCTATTTGATTATCTTGCTCATCCAGCTCCCAGTTTTCTATTTCAAGCAGCTCGGACTGGACATTTACCTCGCTGTTGTTTGCGTGATGAATTAGAATGTGTTTTTTAAACCTTGTCTGATCAGAACAGATTTTTGAACAGTGTGGACATTTGTAAAGCCGGTGGCCAATGTGACAGCGCGTGTGTTCATCGTACTTGGCTTTCTCTATAAAGTATTTTCTGCAGTGCGGACATTTATATGTAGTTTTCCCCTTATGAGTATATACGTGTGAGCGCAAAACCATGAACTGTTTAAAGGCTTTGGGGCAATGTGGACACTGATATGGTCGTTCGCACGTATGCGTACGAATGTGCAATTTGAGGCTAGATTTATATTTATAGGCTTTTGGGCATTGTGGGCATATAAATTTTGTTTTTTTAGCATCTATTGTAGGTTCGTTATCAGCATTAGAGCACTCTTCGTAGCTCCTTAAGCTTAGTTCAGTTTGTCCCTCACTGTTGTTTGCGTGATGAATTCGAATGTGGTTTTTAAACCTTGTATGATGAGTACAGATTTTTGAACAGTGTGGACATTTGTAAAGCCGGTGCCCAATATGAACGCGCGTGTGTTCATCGTACTTGGCTTTCTCTATAAAGTATTTTCTGCAGTGCGGACACTTATAGGCAGTTGTCCCATCATGAGTATATACGTGTGAGCGGAGAATCCCGAATGTTTTAAATGTTTTCGGGCAATGTGGACACTGAAATGGTCGTTCGTCCGAATGCGTCGTACGTAAGTGATTTGTGAGCATAAATTTGGTCTTGAAGGCCCTTTGGCACTGTGTGCATATAAATTGTTTCTTTTCAGCATCTATTCTAGGCTCATTAGCAGCAGTAGGATTGACAACTTCGTGGTGCTCCACGGTGCATTCTTCGTAGCTCTTCAAGCTTAGTTCGGTTTGTTCCTCTTCAATGTTATCCTCCTGATCATTTACTTCATTGCTGCAGTCTATTTCATCATCTTGCCCGGCCAGCTTCGAGTTTTCTATTTCAACCCGTTCAGACTGCACATTTATCTCACTGTTATATGCGGGATGAATGGAAATGTGTGCTTTAAATGATGAAATAGTAGCTAATATTTTTGGACAGTGTAGACATTTGTAAGCCTTGTGACCAACATGATAGCGCGTGTGTTCATCGTACTTGGCTTTCTCTAAAAAGTATTTTCTGCAGTGCGGACACTTATAGGCAGTTTTTCCCTTATGAGTAGATATGTGGGAGCGCAGAATCCAGAAAGTTTTAAATGTTTTCGGGCAATGTGGACACGGAAATGGTCGTTCATCCGAATGCGTCGTACGTAAGTGACTTGTGAGGATTAATTTGGTCGTGAAGGCCTTTTGGCACTGTGGGCATATAAATTGTTTCTTTTCAGTAACTTTTCTAGGCTCGTCAACAGCAAGAGGATCGCCAATTCCGTAGCGCTCCACGGTGCATTCTTCGTAGCTGTTTGAACTTAGTTCACTTTCTTCCTCCTTAATGGTTTTTAAACTTTCATTTACTTCTTCGGTGCAGCCTATTTCATTGTCTTGCCCGGCCAGCTCGGAGTTTTCCATTTCAAGCCGTTCAGACTGGACATTTACCTCACTGTTATTTGCGGAATGAGTTAAAATGTGTTCTTTAAAAAATGTAATATGAGTATAGATTTTTGAACAGTGCGGACATTTGTAAAGCCGGTGACCAATATGAACGCGCGTGTGTTCATCGTACTTGGCTTTCTCTAAAAAGTATTTTCTGCAGTGCGCACACTTATAGGCAGTTTTTCCCTTATGAGTAGATATGTGGGAGCGCAAATTCTCGGACACCTTAAATGATTTGGGGCAATGTGGACACTGAAATGGTCGTTCGCTCGAATGCTTACGAATGTGAACATTGAGGCTGGATGTATTCTTATAGACCTTTTGGCACTGTGGGCATATAAATTGTTTGTTTTCAGCATCCATTCTAGACTCGTCAGCGGCAAGAGGAGCGCCAATTTCGTAGCGCTCCACGGTGCATTCTTCGTAGCTGTTTGAGCTTAGTTCAGTTTGTTCCTCCTTAATGGTTACTTCAGTATCATTTCCTTCATTGCTGCAGCCTATTTCATTATCTTGCTCGGCCAGCTCCGAGTTTTCAGTTTCAAGCAGCTCGGACTGAACATTTACATCGTTGTTATATGCGTGATGAGTTAAAGTGTGTTCTTTAAAAAATGAAATAGTAGTAAATATTTTTGGACAGTGTAGACACTTGTAAGCCCGGTGGCCAATGTGATAACGCGTGTGTTCATCGTACTTAGCTTTCTCTAAAAAGAATTTTCTGCAGTGTGGACATTTAAATGCAGTTTTCCCCTTATGAGTAGATATGTGGGAGCGCAGAATCCCGAATATTTTAAATGATTTGGGGCAATGCGGACACTGAAATGGTCGTTCGCTCGAATGCTTACGAATGTGAACATTGAGGCTGGATGTATTCTTATAGACCTTTTGGCACTGTGGGCATATAAATTGTTTCTTTTCAGCATCTTTTCTAGGCTCATTAACAGCAGTTGGTTGGACAACTTCGTTGTGCTCCACGGTGCATTCTTCGTAGCTCTTTAAGCTTAGTTCAGGTTGTTCCTCTTCAATGTTATCCTCCTCATCCTTTACTTCATTGCTGCAGCCTATTTCATTATCTTGCCCGGCCAGCTTCGAGTTTTCTATATCAACCCGTTCAGACTGGACATTTACCTCACTGTTATTTGCAGGATGAGTTAAAATGTGTTCTTTAAACATTGAAATAGTAGTATAGATTTTTGGACAGTGCAGACATTTGTAAGCCCGGTAGCCAATATGAAAACGCGTGTGTTCATCGTACTTGGCTTTCTCTATAAAGTATTTTCTGCAGTGCGGACACTTAAAGGCAGCTTTTCCCTCATGATTAGATATGTGGTTGCGCAGATGCATGAACTGTTTAAAGGCTTTGGGGCAATGTGGACACTGAAATGGTCGCTCGCACGTATGCGTACGAATGTGCAATTTGAGGGTAGATTTATTCTTATAGGCCTTTGGGCATTGTGGGCATATAAATTTTGTTTTTTTAGCATCTATTTTAGGCTCGTTAGCAGCAGCACTGCATTCTTTGTGGCTCTTTAAGCTAGGTTCCGTATGTTTCTCCTTAATGTTTTTGAAACTATCCTTGACTTCTTTGCTGCGGCCTATTTCTCTATCTTGCTCGGCCAGCTCCCAGTTTTCTATTTCAAGCAGCTCGGACCGGACACAAAGCTCGCTGTTTATTGGATTTGTGTTATCGAGCAGATGGCTAGACTGTCTTTGATTGGAGCTATAGGCGGGCAAACTATTAGCATCCCGAGAACTGAAAATACTTGTGGGTGTATTTGCTTTGCACTCATCTTCCGGCATGTATTCCATTTGATCCGGTGGCAATTCATTTATATCCATCCCGAGCCGAACTTTGTCTATCTCTTCCTCTGGTATTTCCATTTTTATTGCGGATTCCATCCTACTTTTGTTTAGCTTTTCGCGTTACTTCTGATGGCTTTTCTTACACCTGCAATAAAAACCGATCGTTCAGGTTTGCCCATCCTTTTTGGCGGAGAAGAGACAAATATATGTAAAGTAAGCTACAGATGGCTCCGGAAAGTAAGCGTGCTCACACTTTATACCTACTTGCGTATCTTTAAATGTTCTATAGAATCCAAAACCAAAAATGTACATACATATATGTGGACGCGGAAACAAGGGGGACCGACGTTTCGCTCGCGCTCTCACAAGTCATAAGAAATTAAAGCAAGTGCTCTCGTCTGCGCTATGTAAACAACAATTCTTGCACACCTTTGGCAATTTGACGATTCGTTTTGCGCTTAGTTAAATATACTAATTGCAATTCTTCAACAAAAAAAGATGGACAAATTGAATGGACAAAAAATCGAATTCACTGAATATGCCACGATAGTTGGTTTATCGATGATAAATCACCGATGTCAAGCAAAAAGTATCGTAATGTGAGACCAAAACACAGGCAGTTTTGCAACTTAACGCGAGCCTGTCTTCGAATTCTTGGTAAGCGTATAGGTTTAGGATTAATCAGTGTTATTTACCATATTTAGTATGAGTTTGTAATAATAATGTGAAAAGTATACAGAAATAAATTGTAAGCAATATTCGAAAGGTATCGGCAATTCGTAGCGAACGCGCTCATCTCTAATTTGATTATTTTGCTGCGCCCTTATCAGTTGATAGCGTTGCCAACTGTATGCAAAATACTGGCAACAGCGCAACACGCATTTGGCAACGCACACATGTATTTCGCACAACCAAAACGAACAGCAACATATAAACACACGCCTTCTAGCAGCGGCAGTGCATAATAATAATATTGTTAAGCTATGCGCTAGACAGGCGTGTGCCTACCAAGAGTAATAATCGATTTGCAGTAAAATGCGAAGCCAGAACACAGCAGAGCCAGCAACAGATGCAAAATGCAGCAATGACAAAAAAACTGCCGTTCCTGCTGATGTTGCGGAGCCTTCGCCGTCGCCGTCGTCGTCGAGGTCCGCGTCAAAGCCGACTGTACAGCGCGGCCTGAGCACAAAGGTGGCACTTGCACGGCTGCACGAGGACATTGAGAGCGTGCTGCTGGAACATGAGCGGGCCAGCGCCGCAGAGAGGTAAACACGACCACAATCGATGACCTTTAAGTGTAGAATAACAATAAGCTCATTCCTATACATTTTTTTTTTAGCTGCCATTGTAAGTTGCGTGCGGCATTCACGAAGCGTTACGACAGTCCTCTGGGCTGGCTGTCCATTGGCACGACGGTATTGACCAGCGGCGCTCTCCTGATCACCGGCATGTACTGGCCCGCAATTTGTTTGCTGGTCATTCTGCTGCTGGATCTGTATGTGGTCATCAGGGAGAGCAATCTGCGACGCACGGAGATATTCCGGAAGACACGGCATGCATTGGGCGAACTGCGACTGGCCGAACAGCATCTCAGCGAGAACTGGCATGCAACGAACTATCCACATTTGAGCAATCCGATGTCGCCGTGCGTCTCGCTGCAGTGGACCTATCGCGACGGACATATTGTCAACCTGCCGTGGGCGTTGCTGGTGCGTGGCGATTGCATTGTGCTGCGGCCGGGTCATATATCGCCTGGTCCCTGCCATGAGTTGCAGTCCAAGCGCTTTTTTAATGCCAGCGAAATCTATGGCGCCTCCGCAGCACAGCTTGGCGATCCGCCTGTCAAGCCCATGGCACGTGCTCCGCTGCCGGATCTGGTCTGTTGTCTGGAACGCACACCCTATCTGGATAACTTGCGTTTATGTCTGAAGAACTCACTGAAGCGGCCGCCCACCATTTACAATCAACAACGCTATCTGGTAAGTAGTCTCTCGTGCATCTTGCTATAATAATTAATAATACTATTGGCTGCTGGCCACAGCTGGTCACCAAGTACATTCAACAATGGGGCTTCATTAGCGCTTTGATTATAACACTATTTGCGGGCCTGCTGCGTCTGCATGGCTATGGCCTAGCCACGGATGAGAAGCATAATTGGCGTCATGTACTGATTGGTTCGCCCGCGGCTGCTGTTATTCCATTGTTGCCGCTTGTTTTTCCACTGCTCTGGATATCCATGAATTTGTGGGGCATTGCGCGACTGCAGTGCTTCTTGAAGACGCCACAAGCCATACTGGAGAAGACCACTAGTAAATCTTTTGAGGATTTGGACATAGATACACCCGGCTATGATTATGACAGCATCTCATTGATGCGCTCCAATGTGCTGCGCATCTGGACGCAACTGTGGCAGGGTGATAGCGAGCTGCTGCCACGTTCAGCGAATCTGGTGCAGGTGCTAGGCTCCATATCGGCGCTCTGCTGTGTGGATAAAAAGGGCATATTATCCTGGCCAAATCCCACCGCCGAGAAGGTCTTCTTTTTGCACAACACCGATGAGGAACCGCCAGATGATGGCAGCCAGCTATCCGTGTCAACCGAAAGCGACAATGTGAACGATGCGGAGAACAAGGAGCGCGGCATTGTCGCCGAAGTGCTCGATCTCACACACGATCAGCACTGTCCATTTCGCCTGGAATTCGATGATCACGAGTGGAAGGCACACATCAAATCACTGAAGCCTTTGGGTACGTATCGAACAAATGTGAATTGCATAATCGTTGATGTTGCTTTGTTATACACCCGAATCAGGTCTGGCCATATTATTGAACACCTGCTCGCCGCTTACACATGAGCACTATGCACAGTTTTGTGGTCACGTCAGCGCCGTGGCGATGCTTGACAAAGATTTGGTGCCCGTGACAAATCGGTATGCGATGTTTGAGTCCAGTATGAAATGCCTATTGCATGGGTACGTAGTTCATTGCCATCAAAGTTGTTAGCCCTCCTGTTTGCTTTAACCGAAACCAACATACTCTATATATTTGAATTTGTTTTTTTTTTTTTTGAACAATAATCGATTATATATTCCATATTATCCAAGCATATATCTATATATGTATATGCGGGAAATGTGTTGCCCATAATGAAATTCGTTTCATTTTGTTTGGGCAACTTTTTTTCTTTCTTTCTTTTTTTTTTTTGATTTTTGTTTTGATTGCAAAACACTCGACACTTCAATTGGATTGATAAACCCCCATAGATATGTTTATATACATATAGAATATATACTATATAAACAAACATGCGATTGGTAAAGTTATACAACTCTTAAATAAATGTATTTTTGATTTCCCCCTCCCCCCGAAAAAAAAAAAAAAAAAACAGCCTAAGGCAAATAATTTCTCAGCAAAATTGTAATTATTTCATTATCAAATCGAATTGGCTTTCTAATTTTGAGCAAATTATTTAGCTGTGTACATAAATATCCTTCGCCATCTAAAATTCAGCAAAACCTAACAAATTACCAGCTCCTTTTTTTTGATTTGACTACAATATTTTTGAATAACAACATTTTTGTACACATTACATTAATTGATTTAACTTGTTTATGTTGCTGTCGTTTTTTTTGTTGTTGTTGTTGTTGTTGTGTTGTTGAGTGTACACTGTACTCATAGTTTGTTAATGAAAACGCACTTTCGTCCCACCCATGCGCCGCATCTATACTTAATTGGCATGCTATTTTAAGTAACAACAAGAATTATTATGTTGCCAAGAATGCTTAAATATAGTTGGCCCCCATCTAGACATCTACCCAACCCCATTTGTGGCCCCCCCTCCTATTTTATGTATTACGCTTGACTGACTGCCTGCATGCTCGCACCCACCCATCCATACATCCGTCCACCTTCACATGTCCAGCAGTTGTAACCAGTTCTAATCGGTTTTCTATATATACATATATGTATTGTGTACAATCTGTTAAACCAGACGCTGTCTGTGCGAGCTAGCCAAACAAATTGGCTTCACCGATCATGCAACGGATCGCTTTGCCCTGGAGGGTCAGCTGGCCAGCTATAGGCATTTGGTAAGCGCACTTGACAATCTTCCTAGATAAGTTATAAAAATAGAACAATAGAAGCTATGCCAATCGAATTGATCCTTGTGATAACCGAAAGTCGGCACCATATTTCTAACTATACAATCCCATATTGCCTGAGCTAGCTAGTATGTTAAAGAATTTTGTATCGTAACGCTCACTGCAGCTATTAACCAATAACATGTAAATAAAAGCCTGCCACGGAGCAGAGTGTGTTAATAAAAGCGCTACAGCAGCTTAACATTTCAACTTTTAGCGATTTCATGTAATAGCAAAGTATGTTAACATGCACAGTTATTTGCCATTAGAAAATGTTAATAACATTTGGTTTAAGAAAAATGGTTTTAAAAATATTTTAAATACCTTACGTTTATTCGAAATGCCTCTTCATCTTCCTTCATTTACTTTACAGCAACCGGATGTGGTGCGTCGGGACATACGCTTTGCGCGCCAGCTACAGCTGTCGACCAAGGTGAAGGTTCCATTTCCGCACTCCTTGTCGGTGGTGATGCGTGAGAATCCCGGCGGCTATCTGTCGCTATTCACACAGGGCACCGCGGACATTATACTGGACTGTTGCGACGATTTCTGGGACGGCAAGGATTTGCGACCATTGTCGCCGCAGGATCGCAAACGTGCATTGGACTTTTATCAGCGCAGCGCACTGACCTCCTACTGCACTGCGTTCGCCTATCGGCCGTTGCGTCATGGCATCCATGGAGCGCTGAGCGGACCGCTGCACAGCAACGGTCAGATCGCATATCTGGAGCTGCCGCCAGAGTCGAAGCTGCGCATGCAGCATGTGGACAAGTCGCACTGCGATTTCGAGGGCGGACATCATGTAAAGCTGAGCCATAGTATTAGCACGGACTCGCTGCTCTTTTCGGAGAGCAAGGATGAGGATTGCAACGATGTGGAGGGCTGCTTTGAGATGCAGTGCCATCAGGTGTTCATTGGCATGGTGACCATGCAGTATCAGGCACAAAATGACATTGTTCATTTGGTGGAGCGGCTGGAGCGCGCCTGCATACGCTTCGTGCACTTCAGCAAGGAGAACGAGCTGCGTTCGCGCGTCTTCTCCGAGAAGATGGGCCTCGAGTCCGGCTGGAATTGTCACATTTCGCTGCTCAGCGAACCAGAACCGGAGCCTCAAAAGCTGGCAAACAGCAAAGCCAAGGATACAACAGACCAACGGCCGGGCAACAGCAAGTCGCTGAAGAATGCGGGTAAAATGCATGAGAACCATACAACCACCAACAAACCCACTATAGCCACCAAAGCCACCAGCACCACCATTACAGATAGCGTTGCCATTCATCCATCCAGTGAACAGGTCATGTACATCCAGCCATCCGATGCAGTTGATGCAACGGCCACGCCCATTGTTAAACAGACTACTGATCTTGTAGGTGATCCAATCGATGGCCCCAAATTGAGCTACTTACTCGAGCCGCCCAACAATTTAGAGTCCTCGAAAACGTTGAGCTGCTCAGCGCCCGGTGCCATATCCAATCCCGATGAGTGCAACAATACCCCAAACGAGCATTCAAATGCTGCCGATGAGTTAGATGCAGGTGGCGAGCCAGCTGGTGTCGATGGAGAACCGAATGGAGAACGGCATAAGCAACGGCATTCACTGGACTCGGCCATGGATGAGAATTGCCGTTCGTTGAGCACGCTCACAGAGAGCACGGATCAGAGTGCGCCGATTAATTTTGATATGTCGAATCGGGCCAAGTTGCCGCGCGGCATTGAGAATATACGACCGCATCTGGAGCAGGTGGACAATGTGCCGTTGCAGGTGTCGCTGTTCACAGACTGCTCCGCGGAGGCGACACGCCAGATGCTGGACATTATGCAGTCATATGGCGAAATTGTTGTCTGCCTGGGCAGCTCGGCGAGCAATGATAATGCCAACATCTTTTTGCAGGCCGACTGCAGCATTGCTGTCGAGCCGCTCTATCCGCAGGTGTGTCAGGATGTCGATGCCTACACGGAGGCCAATATACAGCACAATAAGCTACACTGGCAACGTCAGTGTCAGGGCAAATCTTCAGCCATGGACGGACCGTGCGAACAGTTGCTGGAGTCTGGCGCACGCGCCATGCAATCGCCCGCGCACACCGTCTCGCCCATCTATTTGAGCCGGCTGCTCAACTCGCTGCCCTGCTCGATAGCCATTTGTCGCGACGACCCGCTTTCGCTGGTGGCCATAATTGAGCTGTCACGCCGCTTCTCGCTGGGCCTGTGGAATTGCATACAGTTCTGGGCCTGCTGTGCCGGCTCCATATCCATATTGAATGTGCTTTGCGCGTGCCTCTCGCTGCCGCCGCTGCTAACCCCGCTGCTGGGCATCTATTTGATGTGTGTCCCTGTGCCATTGATTGCCATCTCGTTGGCGCACATCGATCTCGATCCAAAGATCATGAATCGTGCGACAAGCAAAAAGCAAACCGAATACGATTCACGTGCCTTTGCGTTTGTCATGTGGTGCTACGGCTGCAAGTTCCTGGTGCCCGTACTGGCCGTGGTAAGTATCCCTGCGTTTCCCTTTCAATATATATTTTATATTAATAACCTGATGCCTACAGCTTGTTGGCTACTGGATGTGCATGACGCAAACGTTGTCCGGTCGCCGGCTGGACGATAGCTCCGATGAGCTAGAGGACATAGAGGCTGCTGAGAACGAGGCCGAATTTTATCAGTGTCTTTATATAGCGCGCAGTTGTGCTTTATTTGCAGTTCTGCTGCATTTTGGTAATATATTTACCAGAGTTGATCCAGCCAAGTCAGAAGGTATTCAAGTTTCTCCCGCTCTCTGCTTTTACAGTGCTCGTGTCTTTGTCATTTGTGCATCGTGATCATGCGCTCTGGCAGCGCAATCCTTTGCGGAATCACATATGGGCGTCCACGTGCCTGGTGCTGTTGCTGTTGCACGGCTTCGTCTGTGGACTGCAAATGTTGTTGGATGAGTCGCTCGAACAGCTATTGCCACAGCTCTGGCTGCCTATTCTCGTGCTATTTGGCAGCAGCTTGCTGAGTCTCATCATCAGCGAGCTGGCCAAGCTGCAGGAGAACAAGTAAGTGCAGTTACCAAATATTTGGTTGAGTTATATATTTAATCAATATTTTTTGCTTTTGCAGAGTAAATGCGCGCTATCAGCGTCGGGCGCGACTTGATTTTGGCACCAAGCTGGGCATGAATTCGCCATTCTAAATGTAACCAAAACGAAAGACTTGGTAGCTTGGTGTTAGATGTACCAAGGCTCTGTATATATCATAAACCAAACGCTTTCTAATAATTAATAATATGTTGCTTTAGTACATATTGATTATAATTTAATTCTTTAATGTGCCTGTGAATAATTTGTTTTAATCTATTATTTAATGTATGCAATATTTTTAATTATTTGTGACATCCGCATTTCTTGTTAGCTTTTAAAATGTTCGATTTTATTGTTGCTTGTTCCAATGACAAAAACTTCTTCTACTAACATTTAAAAGACTTGCAATTATTATATAAATTATACATATTTCTGGTAAATAAAACAAATAAAGACAACTGCGTGTAAATAAGTAAAAGTTATCGAAAGAAAAATATGTACTATTTGTCTAACTTATTCTCCCCGCGTTCTTCTTTCTATGCTGCTATGTACTTTAATCCATATTTTTTCATAGAATCTGTAAATGAGCTGCGTCAATAATCTATGGCACGCCTGACCGGGTGTTAATCGACGCCGGCACGCAATTGCTGCGGCCATCTCTTGACCCACATCCATGGATTCTACGCAGCGTTGTCGTTGACAACGTGCCCCATGGGCTTCTCTTGTAGTCAAGAAATCTTTTAATTTGGCTTGTGTATTACATGCATTAATCGCTGTAGCTATCTTGGTGTTTGATATTGATTAGCAGCTTCTTTTTTCGAGTTAAGCAGCTCTCGACTTCATTCTGTTGCGGCCAAGGGCCTGAATAATTGAGGTTCGATATGAGCCAAGTATTTTCTAGGCTCTGCATTGACTTTAAAGATCAAAACTTGATGCGGGCAGGTTGCGGGTTCAAATCCACAGTTGCTGAATGCCTTTAAGTGCCTAACAATTCAATTTTTGGCCGGTTTTTGGTGATCTTTTTGTAATAGTCTTGTTATTTTTAGAGTCTAAGCAAACCCATTTTCCCAAATATTTTGTTGTATTATAATAATGAAAATTAGAGACATGGTTCGAGGCTCATCTATAAAGTTAAATCAGGTTTTATAAAGAACTACGCTTAATAAATTACCTGAAGAAGGTATCAGATGAACATTTAAGCAAAATTGTGCTTCTTTTTTTTGACTTGAATAAAAACGCCGCAGCAATTATTTATATAATGGAAATGTCGCCAATCTAAATAAAAGAAAACAAAATTAAACAGCTTGGGTTATAAACAAAAATCTAAATTCAAATTTAGAGCATATTTTATTATAGAAAATATAAGCTTAAATTGAGCTTTGTAAGTTGATGAAAGTAAATGAAATGGAAGAAAACAAAATTAAACAGCTTGGGTTATAAACAAAAATCTAAATTCAAATTTAGAGCATATTTTATTATAGAAAATATAAGCTTAAATTGAGCTTTGTAAGTTGATGAAAGTAAATGAAATGGAAGAAAACGAAATTTGTTCTAAAAAGAAAAATCGTGAAATGCATTAAGAAATGTGTTGAGATCTCAGAAATTTTATAAGAAGTGCAAAAAGTCGAATAATGCCTTTTTTATAAATAGTGGAAAAAGATGTATAAGGTCAACTGAGCCTATATACTAACTAGTTCGTTAGTGTTGTAGTGGGCATTCTTGCTGTTAATAAATATGTTGCTTTCTAATTGGTTGCAAAATTGCGGACACACGCCCCGGTCGAGGCTTTGACGAACTGTGTGAAGAGTTGCCCAGAGATATTTTGGACACGCCGCTAAAGAACATAACGGCAGATGCGATACCATATGTGGAGTAAGAATCAATTAACACCCGACGGCGACGACGAGGACAGCGAAATGAAAGTGCATGAAGCAGCTCATATATTGATCATATACGAGAGTATGTGGATGTTGTATATAGATCACTTCTAGTAGCACCTTAAGTGGGTCATGAAAAAACGAAATCAAATACCTATGCACGAACCGACAAATAAAACCAATCCGGTCAAGAGTTTTTCAGTGGATTCGAGAATTTCGCGCGGCGCGTTGCACACGGAGTTATTACGGAGCTCGAGCGGACAATGACGAGTGCGTAGATCGTACGGATTTATAGTGTATCCATTAAGAATATATATAAAAAAAAAATAATTCAAAAAAGAGAGAGATAATATCGCATAATGCCAGGAGCCGGCGCCAAGTGTGCGCTGCTTTTGGTCATTGGCCTGCTGCTGGGCTCCATCCTGTTGCCCGCGCAGATTGAGGCCTACTCCCAGGTGCTGGTCAGTGGCACGGATCAGGGACCGCGCATATTTAAGGCGCTAAACACGGATTTGATATTTCCTAAAACGTGAGTCAATTGGATTCAAAGCGTGCGCATAGCATAAACCACGTCATTTTTCGCAGCTTTAATTCGAGCGAAAATGTGGTGTCCACGACGACGACGACAACAACAACAACTGCATTGCCGCTGCCGATACCATATAATCACCAGCCGGAGCCGGCTGCTGCCTCGGAGACGCCGTCCGCCGTCTTTGTTACGCCCTTGAGCCCAACGAAGCCGGAGCTGCAGGAAACGTCCAGCGAGGCGCCGCCGCTGGCCCTGGTAGAGGCGGCCTCCACTGGCCGTGCTGTGGACTATCGCACCACGTATCCATTTGGTCAGCTCATAACGCCGCTGATCAAGACCGGGCGGCCGCAGCAATTCAGTTCCAAGCCGCGTCCCTCACAGAATCGCATCTACCCAAAAGGTAGTCGCTATCAGGCGCCAAATGGTGGCTACAAGCGCGGTTAGTATGGTGCCGGATCGCTTCAAGATGTCCACATCTTAAATCTTCACATATTTCCAGGTCAAATTGCCGATCGTTTTGCGCCTGGCCAGGCTGTTGCCTCGAATATATTCAAGGAGCAGCATCAGCACGATCCGCACGACCACAGCCATGGCGGCAAATTGGCACTTGGCTCGAATGTGGTGCCCTCGTATCTGTCCACCAAGGATACGTACTCCTTTCCGCCGCTCAACACAAAATACCCATCGCCGGCGCAGGATCCCAAGGCGGCACAGCCCTCGGATACGATATCTAGTTATTTGCCGCCAGCTTCGGGCAACGATTTAAGCAATGCGGGCTACGTATATCCTGGTCCTGTGATGGGCTCCTCGGGCTATACGTATCCGAATCCTGGTAATGGTGATAAAAATACCGCCGCTAGCACAACCAGCTCGGTACCCGCCGCACAGCCAGACGACGATCCGGGCAACGATGACACGATTGGCGTGCTACCTGCCAGTGCGCAGGATAACGCACCGCCAGCCAATAATCAAGCTGGCAAGGATGCTGGTGGTGCAGGTGCAGATGGAGATGCTCCAGATGCTGGCGGGGACGGCGGCGACACTGACAATGGTGGTAATGCGGGCGGCGACGATGCGCCTCTGCCAGCCCTGCAAACTGATGGTGCTCAACCAAGTGACGACAACAAGTACGATCCTAGTATGGAGTATGCAACTCCGCCGCCTGGCTGGCTGGAGGCGCATCCGGAATCAGCGGCACCAAAGCCGGCAGATCACGATCATGACCACAGTCACGATCACGATCACATTCATGATCATGATCATGGTCACGACTATCCCGAGCATCCGCATCCACCGCCGCACTTCCATGATCATCATCACGATCATTTTCCCGATCATTATCCGGACGTTTTTCCATCCTATCCGGATGTCTCTTATCCGGAACTGATATACGATGATCACCATCCGCATCATCATCATCACCACGTGGAGCCACCACCACCGCCTCCACCGCCGCCGCCACCACCGCCGCCACCAACTGAACCTCCACCGCCGCCCCCACCCCCGCCAGAACCACGTGTCAAAAAGTACAGTTACTTCTACATTGGTCGCAAGCTCTGGTACATACCTTTGTACTTCACCGTCTGGTTCAGCTTCTATATTCTGTGGCTAATCATCAAGTCCATTGGACGCCACAAGGTCAACTTGCCAAATCACTACGTTACGCGGCGCAGCTTGCCCGACTATACGGAGCAGAGTCGGGACGAGTACATTAACGATATGACGGTTAAGGTGCTGGAGCATATAGATAATTTTAAGCAAAAGTATTTGAACTGATAAGCACACTACAAACTAGTTACGACTAATAAAACACGTATTTTTATAAAAAAAAAAATAGTCCCGTTTTCTTTGGTTTGGAATGCAGAACTTTTGGCGCGAAGCTAAGTTGGCAGCGCCAAATAAAAATAAAATCATATTAACATATCGATAACATTTTCGATAACATATTTGCAACGCATGCGGTCACATTTATTCAGACAGTTTGTCGCTTTGCATTTGTTTACGTTTAGTTATTTTTGCAAAAGAATACGATTAAAAATAATTCGCCAAGATGTCGTATATGTTACCGCATTTACACAATGGCTGGCAAGTGGACCAGGCCATACTCTCAGAGGAGGACCGAGTCGTTGTAAGTGCAAACCGGCCACGTTCGCCCCAGACCAGCGACGTCTCAAATCTGCCAATTAACACATTTGAACTATTCAGGTCATACGCTTTGGACACGATTGGGATCCGGCGTGCATGAAAATGGACGAGGTGATGTACAGCATTGCCGAGAAGGTTAAAAACTTTGCCGTCATCTATTTGGTGGACATAACCGAGGTGCCCGATTTCAATAAAATGTACGAACTGTACGATCCATGCACGGTCATGTTCTTTTTCCGCAACAAACATATTATGATTGATTTGGGCACCGGTAATAACAACAAAATCAACTGGCCGCTGGAGGATAAACAGGAAATGATTGACATTGTGGAGACGGTATATCGTGGCGCACGTAAAGGTCGTGGCTTGGTAGTTTCGCCCAAGGATTACTCAACCAAATATAGATACTAAGTTTAAATTTGTTTAGTACAATAGTTTAGGCATTATAAAGCTTGATTTTAGTCCAACATGAAATGTTTGTTGATTTTGGCAACTTTTGTGTATATTTTTCTTTGGGTTTATTATTTTTTTTTTAATTTTTGTTGTCACATTTCTCAATAATATCGCTAACATTTACATCAATTTGGGGTTTTCTTTTATATATGTATAACATTTAACTAAGTTGTTTTTTTTTGTTTGTTAATAGCTCTTTGGCTTCGTAACTGTATTAAATAGTATAATTTTTCAATTGCTTTTCTCATGCTTGATGTCAGTTTTTACCAATTGTGATTTGAATTTAGCTAAAGGTACAAACACGATTATGGAAATCAGAAGTTGGATTGTGTGAAAAAAACACTTTATAGAAATTGTATTAGTACAAAAGTATAAAAGCAAACGGCACAACAAAAGGAGTCTCATGTTAAACAATAAATAAAACATTTTCTAAAGTACTTCTAGAGTTTCTTATGAACGCGCTAAACCATTTCCAATACATTTGGGTTTTCACTTATTATTGTTCGTTTAATACAACAGCTCAGTTTTTTTTTTTAATTTTTGGGTCTTATTTTTGTAATAAGCTTAGGTTTAACAATTGGTTCTGCTACATTTCTTTTTAGTTATACAATTTAGATTTGTTTTTTTTTTTATTAATTTTTGCTTGCTTCTCTCATTAAATATACATATATCTGCATATATATATATAGCTACATTATTAGTTAATATATATATTTTTTACTTGCTTATTTGAAACAAATTTAACGCTACAATCGTTTTAAGTTTTTTTTTTTTTTTTTTTTTTTTTCATACTTCAGCATATATAACCAACAATTAAATATTTATATGTAAGTATATGGTTGTTGATTTTATAATTTTGATATACCATTTCCTAGGCGCCTGTCGAGTTGATTTTGCATCGTATAAAATACATATTAGTATTCAAAAATATTTCAAATAGAGGGCTGGATTTACACTTATGCAATAGGATAGGTACAAATTAGGCTCAGGCAGGTGAGAAAGTCTCTAATAGATTTTTCGTTGAATATCTTTCCGCACAAACAACAAAATGCAGCTCTAGTTCTTTTTTTGTCAATATTATTACATACATACATACATATTCTCATTATAATTAGGTCTGTATTTTGATTTCAATTTTGTGGTTTCATTTTCTCTCTTTTTATTGAAAAATACAATTTCTTTTTTTTTTTTTTTTGTTATTTTTTAATTCAATTTTCTATAATTGCTATAACTTGTTCTCACTTGTGGAGCAAATGCATTTTCATAGAAAAATAGAGATGCGTAGGTGGGATGAGTTAGGAAATTGTTTCATACTATTTAAACATTTTTTTTTACGTAACACTATATTTTCTCTCTTTTTTTTTTGCTTATATTTTTATCCTTTTGACAACTAGATTTTATTAGCATGCTTCAACAATTTGCTTAGAATTTCTCTCGCTATTCTATCGAAAGAGTTGGGAAATGATAAGTCGGAGAAAGATTATACAAAGTGGAGAAAGTAAGCAACAGCTATTTAGTTCGACTAATGCTTATCGTCTTAAAGTTCTCATCTATGTATGTTTGTTTAGGCTTGTTTCTGTCAGTGTACATCAGTTAAAGTATTCATGTGTGGCAAAGTTCTTGCTCTGTGCACAAACTATATAAAATTCTAATTTACAATACTTCAAGTATTTCGGTTTTTTTTTTTTAGTTTTAGTTTTCTTGCTGGCTGCTGTTTAAGACACTAGTAGAAGAATGTTATTATTTTCTTTTGTTTTTGATTCATTTTAGAAATAAAGTGAGGGAGACTGATATCTGCTGCTGGCTGCTGGCAAACTACGAGTACTATATAGAAATATATATATATATATATATATATATATATATATCAATATATATATTATGTATATGTATAAACATTTGCTCTGTTGCGCACAATATGTATATAAATATACATATATTTATATGGTATGTATTTAATAGATAGTGTGAAAAATAAATCCGAGTATCACTACTTAAATTTTAGAGTTCTATTAACAATAATAGACAACAGTCTCTAAGTACGAATACGTTGTTGTTCTTCTGATTTTCTTTTTCGGTTTTTCTAAACGAATTTGTTTTTGTTTTTTATTTCTATGCGCAATACCCGATCTAAAGCCCTGCATCGCGTTTCGAATACTCGAACAATTATTTCGATTGGGCGAGTACTCAAACGAAACTTTGATTGAATCGAAAAAAAAAATCAGCTCGCGCTGTTCGAGCGTGCTTCAAGCTCGACTATTTCGGTTGCGTTCGAGCTAATTGTCGCACGTGGACACAACTCAAACCGTGTCGAACATGTTGCTGAGTCAAGCAGTTCGAACTTCGTTCGAATGGATGTCGTCGGGTTCAGTGAATCATTTATCGATAATGAAAAGCTCGAGTTTGTCGGTTATCGATTTAATCGATTGAGTATCCCAGTTTTATGCATGTGATTTAACCCGATGCAGGGCTCTAGCCCAGACAAAGCGCGTTTTGTAGTCCGCTTGGCTAGGCAACCCTGCTAGCTCCGGGCGACTACCCTAAAAGTCAGTTGTTAAGCTCTTGTATGGAACGGCCACCAGCTGGGCTAGAATAGCGTCTCTTTCGACCACTTTCTGGTGGTGCCGGGCAAACTGGGATCACGCTCCTCCTCCACACTTAGCCCATCAGCCCCATGCTCCCCCAACTCCAACTCCTCCTCGTCATCATCTTCGTCCGTTGGCAGGCGGATGAGCGGCAGCTCTAGCATAACAGCCGGCGTCGCTGTTGTCTCGCTGCTGTGCTGGTTAAGATTGTGGGCACTCTTGCTAGCCCCGCCGCCGCCGCCGGCGCCGCCTCGCAGGATGAGCTCCTTGAGCGTTGAGGGCATGCATATGCTTTGCGGCCTACTGGTGGCTATCACTGAGTCCGATATGGAGGAGGCGCACGGATCGTGGCCCAGTCTACTGTTGGATGGCAGTTGTGCTTGTTGCTGTGGAACTGTTACTGCTGCTCCCTGGCTAGCGGCAAGCGATAGATTTGTGGCCTGGAACTGGCCACTGGAACACACATAATTATTGTCCATCTGTGGACTTGGACTGGTGGAGTGACCCACACTGATGACCGTATTGAGGCTGCTGTATTGCGTTTGTGTCGCCGATTCGCCGCCACAGCCAGAGGGACTCGAACCGGAAGCACCAGCCACCGCATCCATCATGCCCAGCTCAGTGTTCAGCGTGGAGCATGTGTCCTCCTCAGTGGTTGTGGTGGTTGTCGTTGTTGTCGTCGTTGTCGTCTGCGGATCGCTGTGCTGCTGCAGCAGCTGTGCCCGACGCTGCGGCGGACTGTAAATGACAGCACCGAAATGCGTTTCCAGTGGCGGCGCCATGGCGGCCCGATCACTGGCGGAAGCGCTAATGGTGCGATGACGCTGCAGTAGCGGACGTCTGGGACGTGCGCCCATCATGGGCACAGCGCTCAGGCTGAGTCGCTTGATGGGTAACACCATCTGTGCCTGTGGCTGTGGCAGCGGTTGCGTCGCCTGGGCCGCGGCCAGCGCCAGATTGTGCTCCTCACTGTCGCTGCTCAGCTGCTGCATATCATCGTCTGTGTCGGCGGCGCTCTCCTCCAGCCCGAACACCGAGTCCTCGTCCAGTGAGCGGAGCTCTGAGTCTGGGCATTCCAGCGAGGAGATCTTAAAGGAACTTAACGAGGCAAGCGGCGCACGCTTGCCCTCATTCACCAGCGCATTGTGCAGCAGCTTGGCCGATATGGTGCCCAGGCTACCACTGGCGCTGCCGCCGCCACCGTTCAGCCGATCCAGACTAATTGGCGTGCTGTCCACACTGATGCTGCTGGAGGTGGCATTGCCCGGTGCAGCCGCATTTGGTGTGTACGGATAGCTGTTGTTGTTGCTCTCCACGTTCCGCTGCAGCTCGACCAGCGTCAGCTTGCGACGCACGCCCAGACGCAGCTCCTCCGAGGGCGAGTCGCAGAAATGAAAGGCCTGCTGCTGGTGCTGACTGACGGGCGGCGCCGATTGCAGCGTCTTGGCCAGCGGCAGTGTCAGGTCCACGCTTTCCGACAGCGTGCTCTGATTATAGGGATAAACGTCCACTGTGTCCGCGCTGATCGAGTGAATCTGCTGCTTGCGTCCGGCCTGTGCGCTCTCCGGATCATACGAGACAATGCTGTGCTTGCGCTTGATGCTGGGCGCGCTCAAACCAAGTGGTGTGCTCTTCGCTGGCGCCTGATTGTGCGTGGCGGGCTCATGTATGCTGCGCTCCGATGGACACGGCGAGGCCTTCGGCGTCGGCTGTATCACCTGTATGTCCGGATAATAGTAGTCCCAGTTCTCTATGCTCGAAGTGCGCGATGCCGTCGACAATTTACGCTGCAGCGTCGGCGGCAGATTGCTCATGCCCAGCGTATAGGCCGAGGTGCGACGCTCCAGGTAGGAGCTATCCGTGCTGCAACAAGTCATCGCGCTGCTGCGACGCGAATCCTGACCCTGTAGCGAAAGAAACAGAATGTGCAAGCGGGCTTAAACTTGGATTTCAAGCGCCATAAAGATGTCTTAACCTAACCCGGCAACTATTTATTAGCCACATCTTATCAATATCGGACAACTATGCCATACAGCTCAATAGGAAGAAGAGCTGGAAGTCAGAGGAATCATTTCAAATGGAATAACCAGGGCGGGCCCAGCTAAGCAGCACAATAGGAGATGCTATTTGGTTCGCCTTCAGTGTCGCCCACTCACCGCCATCGGCACGGACAGAAACCCCTGTTTGCTGCGTGTGGAATCTGTGCGTTTGTGCAGCTGCTCCTGTTCGTCGTTCTGTGCATCATGCTGCATATACTCCTCGTGCTCCAGTTCGTCCTCGGTTTCCATAAAGTAATCGTCAGTGCCAAAGCTGCCGCCCATTGGATAATTGCTAAAGATGCGCGAAGATTCTGAGCCGCTTTTGCGGCGTCCGTGCGCACCAGCAGCACCGCCGCCGGGCGACATGGCCGAATAGGAAAAGCGACGCGGTGGCTCCAGCAGATAGCTATAGCCCACCGGTCCGGGCACACCAACGCCACCTGCAAGAGCATGGGATTAGAGCATGACAGATCAGGTGGAAGGATCGTTCCATGCACGTGACTTACCCACGGATGCGCAGCGATAGCCGCGATTGAGCAGCGGTGGCGCGCTTACATTGCCCAGGGAGAGCATGCGCTGGCGTCTATATACCAGTGCATCATACTCGTCCG